AGGGCGGCCCCAAAGTCCGGTTACATGATGGTCGATGATCCACACCCTGCCGGATGATGGTAGGTGATCGACTTCCTGCCACGGTAGCTGCAACAATAGTCATCACGATTCAAAAAAAGTATGATAAGGGTCACTTCGCATATGAAATAAAATAATATGCTCACCATCATGTATCCGGCAGGGTGTGGATCATCGTAACCGGCCCTATCGTTATCCGAATATCATTTACTTCATTTAGCCATACATATGTATCACAGAGTAAAACAGTCACCGAAGTGACTGTAATCTTGCCCGGACGGCTTTAATTCTATTATGGGTTTCTCTTGGCACAACACACACACCTTTCACTTCTCAAACGCACCAACTTTGTACGTAAGTATTTACTTATAATGATTCGATAACTTTATTACCGGTCAAAATACTACCTAATTCTCTTTATTTACATTCGCCGTTTATACGTATAAAATGGTTTATTACATCCTTTGTAACACTTAAACTATTTCTTTCATTGTTAATATTTTAATATATCGTTATTGTTATGCAATCGGCGATCACGGTACCTATCGTACCCGATCTTCTTAACGCAATCTCGATCGATCGAATGATCACGTGAGTCGTTCAACCAATTTTCTCGTTGCACTTCGATTCATTATATAATTCGTTATACAATTTCTTACTAAGTACAAGGGCTCTTTGAAAACTATGCGACAATATGTGCATTATTTTTCTATATCAACACAAGAAATAGTAATCATGTAGTTTAATAGTTGTAACAAAAACTTATATTAGTAAATAAATAATGAAGTTTTTTTATCAAATTAATTATTATCTCACGGTTTACTATGTTTTCTAGAAGAATCACGAATTAACTATTGCTAAACATTTGATAATTATTCAATCTACAACTGGCTTCAACATAATTACACACAAAATTTGATTTTTTAATTCATACAAATTATGATTATAGACTTTAACAATTAGTGGGTACATAAAAAAAAATACCAGCTAGCTATAAACATAAAAAATTTTTTTTTTACAATAACTTAAAGAAAATATTAATAATAATTTTTTATAGTCTTTGTAACATCAGTTTAAATATTTCAATATCTTGAGATATATCTATATCTGAACCAAATCTTTTTGTAGACTCCTTTGATACTCTTTTTGTGGATTCCTTTGATACTCTTTTTGTAGATTCACCATTAACATCAATCCTTCCTTCATTATTTTCTATTACATTTGTAGTAGAATTAAGTGGATTACATATATTATTTATATTACTTATATTAGTTTGATTAATTTGATTACTTCTAGAACAGCCTATTAATGGATCAGATGAAATTGATGAATCTAAATAATTAGATAATAAATTTAATTGAGAAGAATCTTTTAAATGAACAGGTTCAGGAAAAGCTAAATGAATATCTTGATCATCATTTTGATAGTCAAGACTTATATCCTTTAAATCCTTTAAATCATCCTTTTCAAGAACAGAAAAAACATTAGGTTTATTTCCAGCAAAAGTATTGATTGGCGATGAAACTTCAGGTGGAATGAATTGAGATGATGAATTTTTTGGAGCCGAGAAGAGTTTAATCAATAGCATATAACTTAACCATTCTAAAAAAGACGGTTGTAAAACTAAACTATTATTATCGTTGTTTATATCATTATTATTGGTATTAGCAATATCGTCTTTGATAATATCATCGTCGTTTATAATGAAATCAGCCTTATTGCAATTTAGAACCTTCAATTCAACTAAATCATTAAAATTTCCTAGTACGCTGAATTCATTGGTAATACCTTTGTTGTGAGAAAGATGAGGATAATGATACTCAAAAGAGTTAACATTGGAAATCCACAATTGTAGTTTAACAGCATGATAAGCATGAGTAACAGCAATGTCTTGAGAAAATACTAAAGCATTAAGTAATCCTAAAATGCAAAGGATTAGATAAATCAAAAATGATCAAATAATAATAATAATATAATAATATAATATCACATATATATACCTTGAAGTGACATACCAACATAGCAAAGTGAAAGTAGAGGAAAAGATATCGAATGATAAACATAAGCGTATGTTTCAACGAAAGAATTAAAAAATTGAGCTACCAATGGAACCACAGGATACCATAAGACTCTTCTGACAACAGAAGAAATCAATTTCTTATTAATTAAAGTAGGATAATCCGATAACTGAGAAGTTGCAGAATTAAAAACATCATCAAATTCTTTTTTTACAGATCTAAGTTTTCTAATGACCAAAATAACAACGATCGTACAATACAATATAGATGTATCAATCCAACCGAAAAGAGTAAGCCATTGCCATATTATATTATATTCTTTACCCGAAC